GCCAGGCAAAGGGGGCCCGTGGCCCGAAAAGATGGGGAAGCCTCTCACCCCGACATCTGGGACCGAGATGCTTGTCTCCATACTTTTCGGGAGCGGGAAAGAATTCAACCCCGTCTTTGGCCAGGGAAGGAAATCATGCTTGTGGGGAGGAAAAGTTAGCCGTGTAGACGCCTCAGGAGGTAGACTCGCTTCTGCTGCTCCTCTCCAAGTTGGCACCCTAATCTTTTGCCTGAAACGATACCCCCAAATACAGTAGTCAGATTCAGGGACGTCTTATTTTATCTGTTCGGGAGCGGGAAAGAATTCAACCCCGTCTTTGGCCAGGGAAGGAAATCATGCTTGTGGGGAGGAAAAGTTAGCCGTGTAGACGCCTCAGGAGGTAGACTCGCTTCTGCTGCTCCTCTCCAAGTTGGCACCCTAATCTTTTGCCTGAAACGATACCCCCAAATACAGTAGTCAGATTCAGGGACGTCTTATTTTATCTGTAATTATTGCTTGGAGAGAACTACTGACAGAACCAAAGTAATTTTGAAGAGGGGAAAATGTATTTTGAAGAGTAAGATTTTTCCCTCTTCTCCCCCCCCCTCCAGTTTCTCCTCCTGTGTTTTCGACATTAGAAAAAAACGGGAGGGAGGGGAAGAGACGCCCCTCTGCCGGTTTTAGAGGCTACATCCCTGAAAGCCCTTCATCCAGGCAGGATTGTGATGGGTTTTGAGGAAAGCTCCTGGTGCTGCAGCTGAAACCAAGTAGATTTAACCTTCACAAATTAAATATGTCAAAGTGACTCAGAAGACCTTCTCTTTTTAGATATATTTTAAAATCACCCTTATTATATATTGAAAATTATCTCTTTCTCACACACTTTTCAAGAGAAATGTTTTGCTTCCTAAATATAAAAGAGGTGATGGGGCTCAAGTTAGCCTTTACCCCACTCCATATTCCCTAGAAGTTTTGCTCCTTCATCTAAACATACCTGATGTTGTTGCTTGACTTTTTGCACATGATCCGATACAATCAGCATTACTCTGCAAATTCCTTTGTGTCAAAATGTATTTGGAGGAAATTCAGATTAAAACCTTCAAAAACAGAAACGGACAAGTTGTGAATCATCCTGAGCCCCCTTCTCCTTTAACCTTCGCAAAGAGCTCAGTTTTGCAGAGTCAAGGGGCCTGTGTTGAAACAGTGATCATGAAGGGTCTTCCTATTTTCCTCCAATCCCCAACTTTGAAAACCCTGTTATTTTGTATAAATAAGAAAGCCATTATCCAAGATGATATATAGCATAAAGTCATTTTTTTCCAATATGTTGATTATTTATAGATGAATAAATTTAAAATAACCTAAGGAAGTCAGTAGCTGGCTGGACAGCTATTTGTCCAGCAAACAGTGAACACAGGAGTTCGATTCCACACTGTCCCTCTCAGGAGAAGAACTAGCCTCAGTGGCCTTGGGCAAACTGCACAGTTCCAGAGGTACCCTCAGAAGAAGGAAAGGGTAAGCAATTTCTGAGTATTCTCTACCAGGAAAGGATTGCTATAAGTCAGGGATCAACTTGACAATATGTAATTATTATGATGAAAGTCAGAGCTACTGAATATTTGGGGCTACTTAGCAAAGAAGGTTTTGAAAATAAAGGACCCTACCAATTCACAGATAATAAAACAATCTGCCTCAGTAGCAAACAACAGGACTTTCCATGGAGAGAATAAGGTTACTGATGACTGCCAGAAACAGCAAACAGTCAATAGATGATGTTTCACTTGTGAATTTGTCAGAGGCATATGGATTTGTTGGAAACAGAAGACCTGCAGGAACATTCTTAAATATATCTGGGGGACATAATGCTGAAGTTGGTTGGTCATTCCTAATTCCTTATTTGGATCAAAGGATGGTGATAGGAAGATATTATTTTGTGGCAAAAATGAAAAGTAACTTCTTTGGTCTATAGTTACCTTGCTGGATGAAGGATTCTAGGATATATCATACAAAAAAGTAATTTACGTGTGTGTGTGTGTGTGTGTGAGAGAGAGAGATTTCATTAAGAGTGTAATTGTAAACATGTTTGTTTGAAAGCAGAGCTTATGAACTGTCATACATACAATTACACTGTAAGATATCTTTTCAAACAGAAGAAAGAACAGACCTGTAGCTGACAATATATTTTGTCCAGGGCAGACCTTAGCTTTAGTGGCCACTTGTTGTTTTCTCAAAAGCTTGTATCTGTGTGTGGACATTCTTCTTCTTCTTCTTCTTCTTCTCCTTCTTCTTCTTCTTCTTCTTCTTCGTCTTCTTCTTCTTCTTCTTCTTCTTCGTCTTCTTCTTCTTCTTCTTCTTCTTCGTCTTCTTCTTCTTCTTCTTCTTCTTCGTCTTCTTCTTCTTCTTCTTCTTCTTTTTCCTCTTTTTGTCTCTTTTTAGTTAGCATAATAAAGGTATCACTTCCTTATAGATGTTGGAATTTAATTTGGATGTGTGTATGTGAAAGTTGGGATCACAGCCATCCAGTTCCATGATAGCTACACCTAGAGAGATGTGCCCTGGGCTGCTTACCCTGAAGGGAGGGAGAGAGAGAGAGAGAGAGAGAAGGTGGGGTGGGTGGGGAAGAAACAAAATATGTAAACATGAGAAACAATATACGGTAGCATATTTCAGCTATCTCAAGAAATATGATCCTGTGAGTTTACAGCTACAGACTAGCTATCATCTCCTATATCTTGCATTCATTTCTTTATTTCCTTAGACTGGTTCTGTCAGTTCACAACTACGCGTCACCCCTCCAAGGTTTTTCACTCTACCTCACTCCCTCCTCCTCTTGCTTCCTTCCTTCCTTTATGGGCTGGAGGAGAACAGCTTGAATGATAGGAATAGATGGTTTGGAAGAGCGAGGAAGGAAAGACTGGAGCTGGCAATGCAGAGGTTAAATTCACATTCATATCTTACTCTTTCCTGCTTTGCAGACACAGATCTCTCGCCAGATGATTTTCTCCTCCCTCCCCCAATCTTTTGGTTATAATGCTCCAGTTTTATTGGCAGAAAGTGTCTAGATTTGCACAAACTGATGCACATCTCAATCAATTTGTCAAAAATCTTTCTGCAGTCCCAGAGTTCAAAGTGATCCCACACAAGTGTTTTTTTAAATACCTTTTTTGTGCTGCTGGTGTTATATGCATACTTTTTAAAAAGCACGTTCCTCTGATTTGGATGGGACATACTCGCTAAACAATCTGCATGCAAGGCTGCAGTTCAATTAATCCAGTCCCGTCTTCCTTTAAAAACAAGAGAGCCTACATCATAGTAATGTGCTACTTCTCCAACTGTAATTCTCAAAGAAAAAAGGGTTTTGCATAAGAATTCTCAAGCTGATCTCAGATTATTTTGAGGTCTGACAGACCTCACATGGATGCCTTAGGTCCTCTAGCAAGAGAAATTAACCTCTTCTTAGCCAGGTATTGGAAAACATAAGCACATAGGAACATGGATCAGAACATTTCCCCATCAAGATCAGTACTGTGAAACTTGAATGGCAGCAGCTGTCCTGGGTTTGGGTCAAACATTCTTCCTGCCCCTACATGGAGAAGTTGTGAATGAACCTAGGATCTTGCAGCACAGAAAACCTGTGCTCTACCAATTAACTAACTCCCTGTACAAAATATATAGCTCTTCAAATGTTGTTTGTTTGTTTATATATTTATGTAAAATATTTTGCCCTCTTTTCTCCTAAAAAAGGACCCAAGGCAGCCCATATCACTAAAAACTCAATATTAAAAGCTAAAAATAGTAAATTAATTCAATATTTTTTAAAAAAATTGTAACGTTGTATTTTAAAAAAAAGTTTGAGAAAAGCATTACTAAAAACAGATTTAGAAGCAACAAAATATAAGCCATCCTGTTTATTATTTCCTAGACAGTCAGTCACTAAGGAAAAACTTGCCCGAAGAGAAAGGTCTTGTCCTGCTTGTGGAAGGACAGCAAAGATGGGGCCAGGCTGGCCTCCCATGGGAGGGAGTTCCAGTGTCTGGGAGCAGCAACAGAGAAGGCCCTCTCTCATGTCCCCACCAAGCATACCTGTCAGGGTAATGGGACTGAGAGAAAGCCCTCTCCTAATAA